TTTGGAAATATGGCAAAAAGCAAGAGACAGTTTTTTAAACTGCAAGTGCATTTTCCCCTGAATGTTTACGAGCCATTTCAACCACCCGTACTGCTTTGGTGCCAACAATTAAACAATTAACTAAAGTTACTAATGCTGTGGGAGGAATGTACCAAAAACACACACAAATCCTGTATATCAGGCTGTGGCATGGGCAGCTGCTGACACGCTGAGCTCAGCCCAGCAAAACGCTCCCTTCCACTTAGTTTCAATACACGGTTGCCAGCCACCCACAGACTAGTGAACACTATCATCTGTGCACAGAGCTAACTTTGTTTTATTAATAGTGGCATGGAATCTGAATTGAAAAAGCTGCCTACTATATAAAGCAAGTGCTCTCTTTTTCCTCCTGGATTAATCTCTGATTTAGTTACTATAGAAACCATTCTGGCAACTGCTACTAGTAAAGTACATATATACACACACATAACTATACATATATAATTGTATGTGTGCATGTGCATGCATATGTGCACATTTTTATGTAATTTATAGACAAATATGTACGACTAGTTAAACAAAAGACCTTGATTCTCTTCTACGGATGCAGTGAAAAAACCCTTCAGATGTAAGCACTAACAGCGGCTGCTTTAACCATTTATATTGTGACTTCTATTCCTGGACAAGTTTGGCTGTAAAAGCCACATTAGGGCTAATTCTCTGAATCTGGGGATGAAGTGGGCATATGTAGCATGTTTTTCTTAGCATTCAGGAGGGGATGTTTTAAGTCACCTGAATCTTCTCCAGTATATCATCTAGGTGACATCAGGGCTAAGCAAGCATGTTTTCCTTGCTCTTCCTGAACACAGGAGTGAAGTGCAAAGAGATCTCACTCAAGTCTGACTGACAGCTAACAAATCAAGCAATCGAACGTGACACAGATTCAGACCTACAGTGAAATTTAATAGGAGACAGCACTCTCCTGTTTATTCCTTTTCATACACTGCTCTCATAAACATTTCATAAGTAATTCCCACCAGGATATGTAAGATTTATAACATGCCTGGAAGAGCAGGTTGGCAAGCTCCCTTGTAGTCTTTGAACTGCTAACTCACTTCACACAATCATTGTTCATACATGTAAAATTAATTCAGCTACAATTTCCAACAGCTCTGTATCTTCCATACAAGGCCAGATTGAAACACTAGGGCTGTTCATAACAGAAGATTTTTCATACAGAGAAAGCCTCTCAGGCATTCGCTTCATCTTTCCCTATAAGGACCACAACAACATTCAAAATAAAAAGTTAACACATTTTAATGGCTGCAAATAAATACTTTAAGCAACATATAACATATCCGTGTAAATCACTACCGCAGCATATTACTCAGTTCGGTGAGATTAAAAATGATTTGACAGTTATTTGGAATCAGATTAGCATGACAGATACTTTTAGCAATTGTCTTTGTGTGGGATTCCACAAAGCCCTATTTTGTCATCATCCCCTGCTATTTATTGTGTATATAAGGCCACTAGGGGAGGTAGTGGCTGTAATGCCACCTGTACATAATGGATGACACCCAGCTTTGTATTCTCCTCACTGACTCAGGTGGTGCAGCACACATTTGTTTTCCCATTCCTTTGCTAGGATAGACTTGTAAACTGGCTGAAGCTTAACCTAGACAAGATGGATTGTGATACTTATGGGCATGGAGGCTGCATCTTTGGTGTACGGTGGGAATGCGAGCCTTATTCACATTGTTGAGGCACTTTTCCCAAACGGTTCACTACTATGGAGTTCTTGAACAACATTTGCTCCTGGTAGCTCAGGTGGCACTGGATGGTTTTCTGCATCTCTATATACTATATAGCAAGTCAGATGAAACCATTTTTCTTTATCTAGATCCCGCCACTGTGAATTATGCCTGCAAGTATGGAGAGTGTGTGAAAATTCTGCCACTTTAAAAGGATCACAGGGGAACTTATCACTCACGTATGTACCTCAGCTGATCTACTGTAGCTGTTCTGTGTCTGCTCCTATCCCTCATTAAATTAAGCTAAACCAGGTCAGCCTGCTTTGGAATGAAACATCTGCTAAATTATCATGGTTTAGCATTCGTTTACAACAAAATAAAGTCAACACATACAGTTATAATGGAAGAGGATGCTGAAGATACAAATGCTGTTACACTGTGTGCATTAGAGTGTACGCTAGCCTCTTCAACAATTGCCCTACCACCTTATTTGTTTGTAGGTGCAAGTCAAGGTGTTAGCACTGATTTACAAACTCTTAAATAGCTTATGTTCTGACCATCTGAGAAATTCCCTAACCTAGTGTGATACTTGAGAAAAGCTAAAGCACTTACATCTGTAGATCTGTCACTGGATCAAAGAGACAATGTTCTATGTAAAGGGCTCTTAATTGACATTGGCTTTATTGCTTGCATACCTAAACCTCAGGTGAATCCCATGACCTTTGCACAAGATTACTCTTTTCTATCACTACTGCCCAGCACTGGGATATCCTTTGGTTTTATGGACTGTCCTTTTTTAAAGCTTATTAATATATTTAATTTCTTATAATACACAAACATCTGAAGTTGTGGGGCTGGGTGCATGTTTATTATTATAAAACTGAGCAGCTTATAATATCAGAAATTTTTTTTTTAGCAAAAGCTACTATTTCTAGTGTTCAATGACCTGAATAGATCACACCTGGGTCTAGATGAAGTCTCTTCTAAAAAGAACACAACACCATTCACTACAGGATAGCAGATGGAGGCTGACACCATCCTTTGAAGTATCTAGCCTTGGCACTCTAAAAGTACATGCCAAAAGCAGGTGGATCACTGGTCTCTTTACACTGTAAATCCTGGTTTTGTGCAGAAGTACTCCTTCACACAAATCTGTACAGTTCCCCAGTGACTCTCATCTATTTTGTTGAATGTAGGATAATGAATACTATTGTAACTCAATCCTTCAAGGTACTGGACTTACTCACCTTAAGCCACTGAAGCACAGACAATATATAATAAAAAAGAGTCAACAAGAACATCCACTCCAACCCCATCACAGCACTGTCACAAAACAGCCCATTTCATGCTTAAGTTTAGGCATGTTGTTGAGAGTCCTATTAATGGCTATGGGAATTTATCTACCTTAATTGAATCTTGTGTTTTACTGAATCATAGCCAGGGCATTCTCTGCTTTGCATTATTAAGCACTTACACAGCAATTTTCTTGTAAAGAAAGCAAACAAGCATTGCAGAGGAATAGCACAATATAAAGGCATGTGATCACTAACCAAATCATAATGGCTGTATCTAAAAGTTAGTAGACCTCGAAGTATTTATAACCAAAGCCTCCAAAGGACTGAAAGCTTGAGGTTCAGCTTGGCAAACTGATCCATGACACAGTTTCGAAACATCTGAAATGTCATTTGATGCTCTTCCAGTTACTTACAGTAAGAGAAGAGCAGCTATGTACTACATATCAAAAGAAACCTGTGCAGCACTGGCTAAAGCAACACACACAAAGCACCAAAGCGTCCTTGGGGGGGGTGGGG